ATGGATAACATTCATCTACCTTTCCTTTCATAAAAAATATTACATTTATATTTCTTATTGTTTCAAAATAAATTATGTAATATCACATTTTAGTAATATAAAATCACTAAATTTCTATTTCTTATTTTTTCAAAATACATTATGTAATATCACATTTTAGTAATATAAAATCACTAAAATAAAATGCTAGAAAGAAGATAATTTATAACAAAACTAATATTTCAAGAGAGGAAAAGTCAACACTGAAAAACAAAAAAAAATTATATATACTATTACTTCACCATCAACCTCTACATTGAGACAACTAGAAAGATGTCATCCTTAAGCTCATACCTATTAAGGTAATCATCGCAGAAGAGAAAATACACAGATAAACAAAAACAAAAGCAAGAGTAAGTTAATGATAAAATAGTTTAATATGGAAAATAAAATTCAAACACACAATTTCAATCACACAATTAGTAGAACATCTTCCACCATTCACACACATTAAAACATCTTTTCCATTCACACCACTGACTCGGACTTGGCCAAACCCTTTACAATATAGTATAAATGTCGAGTCATGATTCTACACTTGTGTGGGTTGAAAAAGTGACCCACTCAATACTACCACACAAGGTTAGTCCTTAAAACACCCTTTGCCACCATGAAGAAAGTTCTCCAGACTAGGACCTCCTGCTCCTCTCACGACATGACTCATCACTCTCTAATTGAGCATGGATGATCATTATATTGATACAATAATCCCATATTGGCTTCTTACAATTTATACTATTTATACACATAAATCCCCTAATAAGATATTCTTGCTTGGAATTTTCTTTTCCAACCCAATTATGACCTAACATCATTAGAACCTTTTGACCTAGTTGACTATTGTTGTGGTGGTGACCAAACGACCTATTATGCTAATCGTTCGGTCTCTACTATATAGAATATTATAGTGCACTATAATAACCTTCTAACAATTAAATTACTAGTAAATGACTCAATTTATTAAATTCAATACATTATTATTAACATTTATATAATTTCTTTTATCATTCTTAAATTTTTCAAACATCAAAATATTAACAAAAGCCAAAATTATCTCAAGAAATAAAATTCAACCCTATCTTATACATCTTAAAAGTAAATCTTCTCATGATCTATTCTTAAAAAAAAGTTTGTTTCATAACATGACACGATTCAAATACAAAATCAAGCTATAAACTTAAATTAGAATCTAAAATAAAAGTAACTTTTCTTACTTTATTTTCATTATCAAATATCTCTTTATATCACCTCAAGTTCATCCCTAATCATCAATCATTATAAAATAAGTTCAAAGTCAACAAAAATTTCTTATATGCACCACATGTAACACTGAGTACAACATCTTAAATTTTCTTTTGGTAACCAAGGAGTTTCATTAGTTTAATATAATCATTACTCGTATTCTCACTCGCCTCTCTTTTCAATACAACTATTATACTCTTAATTATAGACTCAAAACTAATCCACATACTCCAAATCTATACATATAAAATACAATATTAATTAATTAGAATGTAAATAGAATAAATTAAATTATCATATCATCAATTAACTTTATACACTTATTTATCCCATAAAAAAATCTCCTTTACGCAAATAATTTGGAATCAATATAATATTTGTTAACATTACTCAATATTTCGATTATTTTTAATCTTTAGACCTTTATATTGATAATTATGGTGGATGGAGCCTAACTAGTTCCACTAATATTGAATAAATTTCCTTGGAAAAAAAAATCTTTCAATGTATATATCTCGTATAAAACATAAATTGAATACTTTTGTCCATACCTTTTATAAACTGTATTAGTTGACTTTGGTACATTGTATATTATTTTGAATGTAGTCTATCTACTAATGGAATCATGATTAGATCAAATTTTCTTTCAAAATGTCAAAAGTCAAAATTCACTTTTATGAAAGCAATTACTCTTGGATAATATTGATAATAATTTCAACTTAAATTATTAAAAGAGAAGTTAATTATGTCAATCAATATTCATTAGTTTTTGTCATAAATATTATCATTTTATACTTTCTCGTGTATATATATATATATATATATATATATATATATATATATATAGTACATCTATATAAATATCATACCTTGTATTTATGACAGAGTTGAATTTCCACATTGTACATATATTTACATTATTAATTAATTCAAAAACATTTTAAGAATAAATATTACAACTGACCTTTTATGCAATTTGCAAATGAACTAAAAAATCTATATATTTCTTCTATCCCTACACTGTGTTAACCCTTCTTAGTAGTTTAATAGATACAATTACAACATTTCTCACTATAAAAATTTTTTATTAAAAAAAACAAGTTTGCAATAAGAAAACTACAATATATTTTATTTTTTTTGGTTTCAAATATAATTTTTAATAGCATTCAACAAGTTATACATAAAAATTTGTAATGAAATGCTATTATAGAAATATTTTATTTCTATCAATATATTTTGACTAAATTGTTGTAAGCATTTATATCACATTATTTCTTTTTTATTTCAACAATGTTTTAGCCAGTATATATGATACAAATTGATCTCATGAGACATATAAAAAATAAATTTCACAGTTATTTTCTAAAACTCTTTGGATTTCCATGTTACATTATTATTATTATATATATATATATATATATATATATATAAACACACACACACGTTACTTTGAAAGATCAACTTAAGAATTTACTCTAATTTTATGAATTATTGCACTTTTGAACACTAATTTAAAATTCAATACACTTAAAAAAAGAGAGTAAAATCATGCCTAAAACGTTATGTTAAAAATAAAAATATCATCACTATCCTTTTATTTTTAAAAAATTTAATTTGAAGTTATAAATCCTCATAAATTTTTTATTTTTAATTGAGTTGTCATTAAATATTTTTAGTTTATCAGGTATTCAGAATTTATATATTTTTTAATTAATTTTCTATTAATTAGGTAACTTCTTGTATCATCAATTTTTTTTAAAATAATAAAAAATATTTATTACTTATTGGGTGACTTATTTTTCCGTTATCTTTAATTATTTGTCTCTACCTATTTACAAAAATGTACATATTAATTGAGTGACATGTATATTATTTTTCATCTTGATTATTTCAATGTCTTAATATAAATGATCTTGTAATTAACATAAAATATAAATAATTTTTTATTATTTTAATTAAAAATATATAAATAAAGAAATAGAAAAATAACATTTATGTCACTCAGCTGATAAAAAAACTAATATTATTAAATAATATAAATTTAATAAAAAATATAAAAGGTATAAAAAAATCCATAAATAAAAATATTTAATAAAAAATTAATTAAAATTATTTAAATTTATGATACACTTAAAAATTAATTAAAACTATTTTCAATATCAATTTTTATTTGTTATTTTCTTATATATTTTCTCTGTTACCAGCGGTATGATAACTTACTACTTTTTAATAATTTTAGTTTAGTTTTTAATTTCTAGATCAGTTTGATTAGTTGACCATGAATTAGTATAATAGGTTAATGTTAAACTATTTGAGTCACCCATTTAAAAAAAAGAAAAAATCTAATTTCACTGTTACATAGTAATTTAACATATTTTCTCAACTCAAGATAATAAAAGTTGTAAGTAAGAAAAATCTTATAGATTTTAAAACTTGAAGGAGGACTGTATTCAGAAATCTCAAAAATAATAAATGCAAAATAATACATATGCTAATGGTTTAAATTTTTATCCTTGAGTAATTATAAATTTAAATATGTATTACATCTATTAATTTATAATAATTATCATGACATATTAAAAATTATTTTAATTATTTAATTAATTAATATATTCAATCTCCTAATGCATACAAATCTTAAACTTTAAACAAAGTAATAATTTACGTACTATATTTGATTGAAAAATAAATTATCATTATTAGAATTTTCATTGTGATAGTGATAAATCCAGAAAATGATTTTTCATGACTACTCATCTCATCGTCATCACCATTCAATTATGCTTTGATTTGTACACAATGAACCATGCATGTCTCTTACAGACAATGGACAAAAAAACAAACAAAATAAATAAATATATTACAGGTAATAAATTTAATTGCATTAAAAAAACTCTACGACCCCACTCATCTTATCCCAAAACAAATTTGACACGTGTATCATGTTGGACCCAAAATTTCATAAATAAAAAATATTAATATTAAACTCAAAAACTTTCAAGAAAAGTATAAAAAATTAAATTAATAACTGATTAATAGCATTAATCAGAATAAAAGTATTTAATAAAGTTATTAATAAATATAATATCACAATTAATAACGCATTAATTACTCAGCCATAACTGAAACTTTGAATCTTGTATAATTTCTTCAAATATTATCATGATCATCACAATATAAAATTTCTACTTTAAGTAAAAAAAATTAGTTGTTATTTATATGGTTTTATTCATGTTAATGTTATAGCTAAAATGTTATTTTATTCACCTAATTACACCATCTCAATAAATATATTACTTTTATACATTCTTATAAATATAAATATAAGCATAATATACTTAAAATTAAATTAAGAAAAAAAATCTATAAAAATGAAGAAAACCAGTCAATTTAAATTTTTCTGAAAAAGTAAAGTAGAATAATTTTAAGATAAAAACAATAAAACTTAATACTAATACAAAATATTCATAGAAACAGGATATTCTATTAGTATAACAAATTTCTCAAAATTATATATTTTCAAATGATAATAATAAAACTAAATTTGTTTAGTACGGTCTTAAACTTAAAAAAAATAAACAACAAGTACTGACAACAATTGAACCTTAACACGCGGCGAAGCGAGTTCTCTCTCCTTCATCACCGCGACGCGCCATCACATACTTTTTTTTTCACTCTCCTTTTCTTCTTGTTTTTCTTTTTTTCTCTCTCTCACAGATCTTTCTTTCTCTCTCTATAAATCTTCTCTTCTGTGTCACTTTTGTCAACAAAAAAATCAGAACAAAACTCCCCAAAATCCGTTTCTCTTACCTTCAATTAATACCAAAACCATTTACATTTTTTTCTCTCTTCTTCCTCTTTCTTTTTCTTCTTCAACTCCAAATTCTCTCTATCTTGGACCATAAAAAAAAACTTCAACTTTTTTAGTTTCATGGAGCATTTATAAAACCCAGAAGTGTCAATCAATTCCATCTTGCATTTTCTAGCTTAAAATATTGAGTAGGTGCAATTTGTCCATATCCTCCAACCCTTTCAATTTCACAGATTTTGCTCTTGATTTTCCTCTTTCCATGAAAAATGTTCCAAATCTAGTTGCAGAGGTCACCTTGTTTGATTGAACAACATAACCCAAAATAAAAATATGATCTTTTGTGTTTTGTGTGTCACACTCTTGTTTACAATGAGAGAGACTTGAGAGCTTCCAATATATCCAAAACAGAAAATCTCCTTAAACCCCATTTGCTTCATCGGCTGTTTTCTCTGCATTTTCTCTCACTTTCTCGAGAAAATCACTCACAAACGACAATGCCCTCTTCCATCTCTTCCTCCTCCTTTTCAACCTCTTCCTTCACGTGCTTCTCTGCAACTTCTCCATCCAACCTGCAACGCTTTCTTCAATGTGTCACTCCTCGTGTTCCTTCTCAGATTCTACCGAAGGTAATTCTTTCGTTTGTTTTGATTTATATCTCAATCTTGATTTTGTGCGTTTTATTTCTCTGGGTTGTGTTCAAGATCCATTCTTTGTCCTCTGGGTTGATTATCTCTGTTCCGGTTCATCGGACGGTGCGTTTGTTTGTTCATTTGTGTTCATCTATTTTGTATTTTTTTAATTTCTGCAATTGCTATACACAGAAAGTGGAATATTTTTTTGGATCTTTCTTCAATTTCTATATTGTTTCCTTTTCCACTCGTTTTTTTATCTGAATGAATCATTGGGAGGTGAAATATTTTTTAATTCTTATAAAATGTCAAAAAATGTCATTGATTTCGATTTGCACAATAGTAGTGTCATTAATACATTTTTTATCATTAAATCAAAGAGAGAGAAACTTATTAAATAATAAAAAAATAAAAACAATATTCTTCTTATGATAAATTTTATTAAAAGAAATTCTTTTCAGAATAAGTAATTAATATTCCACTTTGAATAAATACTTTTTTCATTGACTTTTTTGACATGTTATTTAATTAAAATTATATTTAATAACTTTGCATTAATAATTTTAGACAATTTTATCTGTTTGACGGATTTGGAATGAATTTAAGATAATTATAGTAATAATTAATAAATTTAGAAGATTACACATATAAAAACATTGCCATTTAGAAGAAATTTATCTGTCATAATTTAATTGATTTTTGTATTACTTTTTAAATTTATATAATAAATTTAAAAAATTGGATAACCGATTATTTTAATTAAAATTTTTTTTTAACTGTGCATAGTTTTTTTTTTTTGTCGGTTTTCAAAATATTTGTACCTGTCACGCTATTTATGAGAATATGATAGAAAGATTGATATTAGAGGTTTTTCTTAAACAAATTAATTTAATTATTGGAATTTCCAAAAGTGGATACGAAAAATAAAAAATTAAAGATGTAGCTTTGTTTTTTCAACATCCGAACTCAGCTAATAAATGAGAATATCAGTGTCTTTTTTCTCTCAAAAGAACTGTGGGATAATATTTGTTTTGTGAATGAAATTTTGTAATAATCAAAATGAAAGAAAATTACTTTTCTATTTAAAAATAATGATATTATTTACTTTTTTTTATCAGAAATATTTGTTATTTTTATTTTGTTGTATGTGTTTTGTTTTAGCGGGGTCTTTGTTAACCTGGTATAACATTAATGACTTTAACTTCCTTCATTTAAGAATTTAATAGTAACTGTCAGATTAATTATAATATTAAATTTTTAAGTTTGATGAAATACGTTTATATTGAATTAATAACCTTAATATATCCGTTATTTTACAATTAATATAAAAAATAATATCTTATTATCACTAGTATTTTCATAATTCTGCATATTTTCTATGGATAGGCTAAAACGATGTCGTAAAATAAATCCTTTGTTTTGTGTAAGGGAATATCCATTTGATGCCCTTTGAAAAATCTTTGTCCACATGTCATTTTATAATTATTATGGTGCATAAAGTAATTTTTGAATCATGGTTGACATTGACACCAGTGTTTTATTGCCTCAAAAAAAATACCTTTATTATATAATTATTAATTTTTCAAAAATGTAATGTACAGTAATAGTGTTTTGGAGTGTATATTTTAGGTATATAGTAATGGATACGTGTAGGGTATATTTTAGGTATTTTTTTTGTTTTTTTAAGGGGATTTAAAAGGTCTCTTTATGATAATTTGTTTTAAATAATTTGTATTAAATCTCCTTAAAAAACAAAAAAAAAAGTACCTAAAATATACCCTACACAAATCCATTACTATATACCTAAAATATACCCTCCAAACCACTATTACTATATATTACTTTTTTTAGTTTAGAAAAGTCAGATTATATGTTTTTTTCTTTACAAATTTCATTTATTATTTTGTCTTTTTTTAACCCAATTGCATGAAATTAGTCTTCCTACTTGGATATGAGATTTCCCATTATTCTTTCCGCAATTCCAGTTTGAAAAAAATTGAAAGTAAATAATTAATTAGGCATTTTTTTATATACTTTGCTTGTAGAATTCAAATTTGATGACATTACCCTAATCATTCTTTGATTAGAAAATTCAAAAAATATCTAGATTAGGAAGGCAAATTTTCAGAAAGAGGGATCATTAATATATTTCTGAGGGAATTCTGATGGCTTTTGTCTTAATTAGGCATGAACGATGGGTAATTGTTTATAGTCAACATGATTTTACGTGGAAATTATGATACTTGATTTGACTTGGAGAGAAATATAGGGTTCTTCTTCAATCTTGGCATGTGGTTCAAGGGACAAGGGCCAAACTTTTAAGATAAAATCATCTTTTTTCATTAATGAGATGAGCTTGTGTTTGTGGCTGCTTCTACTTTACATCGTGTGTCGTATGTGACGGGGAAATTGGTAATTGCAGAATTTGTGGGCACAAGCCAACGTTTTGATTGGTCGTCTCGTGAAAAAATGTTCATACTAGTATTATAATAGTTGATTTTTTGTGACAATCTATTACTGAGGAAGATATGTCCTCTGGGATTTTCCTACTTCCGTTTTCAAACTTGCCTTATTGTTACAATGTCATTTATTGAGTGGTTTTCCATCAGCATCTGCTGTTTGGAGAATCAGTCAATGCTTTTTGGATTTCCATAAGGGAGACAAATGATGGAAAGGAAAAGAAAACAGGGTTTTCTGGAATATGCTAGGTGCTACCAAAACCGATGCTTTTCAAGCTGTTACTGCTTTTTGGCTAACGACTTTTTTTTGTCTGCTGTTCCTTATATTTTGTCA